CTGAGGTATCCTATAGCTGAGAAAGCAGCTTTAGCAGTTGTCACTTCGGCCAGAAAGTTGAGGCCATATTTCCAGTCGCACCCGATCATTATTCTTACAGACCAACCCCTTCGGCAGATTCTGCAAAAGCCTGAGTGTTCTAGAAGGTTAATTAAGTGGGCAATAGAACTGGGGGAATTTGAGATAACATTTCAGTAGAGATCTGCCATCCGAGCTCAGGCACTGGCAGATTTTATTGTAGAGTGCACTCCAGGTAATTCCATTCCTACTCCGTAGCCCAGTGACTAGACCTTATATGTTGATGGGGCATCTAGTGGCAAAGGTTCAGGAGCTGGTGCTCTCTTGATCGGCCCAGATGGATACCAAAGTGAACATGCTTTGAAATTTAACTTCGATGCAACAAATAACATGGCTGAGTATGAAGCCCTGCTACTTGGTCTGCAGCTAGCTTTAGAGTTAAAACTCAGTGCGATCCAAGTGTACAGTGACTCCCAGCTGGTGGTGAACCAAATTAACTCAATCTGCGAAGTTGTTGATCCTGTGATGGTGAAATATGTAGCTCTGGTGGCCAAGCTGAAGTGCAAATTCCAGAAATTCTGTCTGAACAAAATCCCCCGAACTGAGAATGAACAAGCAGATTCACTCTCTAAATTCGCCTCTGATAGTTCTTCACATTCCAGATCAGTTTTTGTGGAGGTCTTAGATGAACCAAGCTTCATGAAGCCACGGGTGATGGAGATCAGCACCAACCCAGGCACACCGAGCTGGACTGATCCCATCCTCTCCTTCTTACGAGACGGGATAGTACCTGAGGACAAGCAGGAGGCAATGAAGTTGAGGAGGAAAGCATCTCGGTATACACTTGTTAATGGGGTCCTTTATAAGCGATCTTTCTCTCTACCTCTTCTACGGTGCTTGAATCCCTATAAAGCAGAATATGCACTCAGGGAGGTGCATGAAGGTGTCTGCGGAAGTCATGTGGGGGCCCGAACTTTGGCTCATAAAGTCCTTAGACAGGGTTATTATTGGCCCAACATGTACAAGGATGCCACTCACTTTGTTCAGAGATGCTTGAAATGCCAGTTCTTTGCGCACCTGACTTACCAGCCTGCAGAAGAGCTCACTACTCTGGTAGCACCGTGGCCATTTGCTCAGTGGGGATTGGATCTTTTGGGTCCGTTCGTGAAGGGGGTTGGTGGTGTAACCCACCTGATTGTTGGTGTAGATTATTTCACAAAGTGAGTTGAAGCTCGACCGTTATCCAGTCTTACTTCCAAGAAGGTTGAAGACTTTGTTTTCAGCTCAATCATCTACAGATACGGGATCCCGAATCAGATTGTGGCTGATAATGGAACTCAATTTAACTACACCTCTTTTCGAGATTTCTGTTCCAGCTACGGGATAAAACTGCAGTTCACCTCGGTTTACCATCCGGAGTCCAACGGCATGGTCGAATCTGTAAACAAGTGCATCTTAGAAGGTATAAAGCCAAGGCTGGAACAACACAAGGCCAAATGAGCAAACGAGCTCAACAACGTCCTCTGGGCATACAGAACTACGAGTCGAACTGCCACAGGTATTACTCTACACCTGGCCTATTTGATTGATTTTATTCTACTTCTTCTGCTACGGTTTTACCTTAGAGCAAATATGCATAACGTGTAAAGCGCATTCTAAAGTTATAATCCACTGAAATAGGTGAAACACCCTATCATCTAGCCTTTGGTACCGAAGCAATCATTCTTATCGAGATAGGAGTTCCAAGCTTCAGAGTCACTCATTTCGATGAAGGACGAAATGGACAACTGCTTCGGGAGAACCTTGATTTGCTTGATGACGTTAGAGAAGAAGCACGACTTCAAACTCTAGTCTATAAGCAGAAAATAGCAAACTTCTATAACAAACGAGTTCGACCCCGAACATTCAAAGTAGGAGACCTTGTCCTCAGGAAAGCTGGTCTGACGGGATTCGAAACTCGATTCGGCAAGTTGGCACCAAACTGGGAAAGCCCCCTACACTGTTGCCGAAGTGCCGCACCCAGGTGCATATATCTTACGGGACACTGAAGGCAACCAAGTTCCCAGGGTCTGGAATGTCAATAATTTGAAGAAATTCTACCCTTAGCACACTTCGTTCCAGTAAACTTTGTCTTATCGCCATCTTTCTGTTCAATGTATATTGAAACTCAATTCCTTTACATCAACTTCACTTCATATTGATTCAGTCCTTTCATTGTGACTTATTCGATCACTTCATTTGTTGGGTTATGATTTTATTACACTTACTTTTGAAGTGATTTACTTTATCTTTTGTCATTTCTATATTTGAAGTTCGCCTCATATATATATCCAAGGTTAGTTCCTTTACTCGAGGTCAGAACCTTGTGTTAAATAAAGTTACTTTATCCGAAGTCATTCACCTAAAATAAACTAGCAATTCCAAACCAACACTGAAGACTGACAATAAACCTCAAACATTTTATAAAATAAAATCTCAATTACAACAATGTTATTTACAAATATAACTAAAAATATAAAAAAAA